TCATCTCCTCATGTATTGATAAAAGCGATTAAAGGCAAGAATGAAGTGCAACGATCGGAGGTAGAGAAGATTGGCTTTGGATCAATTTTAAAGATGGAAATTTCAGAGTTGCCCGCGAGGTTAGGACATTGGGTTGTGGAGAATTACAATGCATGAAGCAGCACCCTGCAACTTCCTAAGGACAGAGAGATGCACATAACTAAAGAGGATGTGTATATTGTGTTGGGTTGGCCAAATGGTGGACAAAAGATTGAGTGCAACAATAGTAACAAGGACAGAATTCTCCTAGAAGAATGGAGACTTAAATTTGGAAGGAAAGATGGTAAAATTACCGCTGGTGATGTTGTGGAAAAGATGTTGATGTGTAAAGAGGGAGGGGAGTGGTTTATACGGCATTTCATGGTGCTGATCGTGGCGGTTCTCATCGATAGCATATCGCATGGTTTATGGATGCATTGGTACTGGATCATCTAAGGAATGTTGAAGAGGTGGCAAGAATGGATTGGTGTCAATATGTGCTTAAAAGCTGATAGAAAACAAAGTAAAGTGGGACAAAAATAATCAAATTTTTTTTGGAGGCCCTCTGTTTCTTTTACTGGTATGAATTTACAATTTTAGTATGATGCGCTTTTTATAATGTATGACGCATATGTCTTGCACATTCAATGCAGGTGTTTTATGTGGATCGTGTTGCTGTTTACACGAGGTCTGTACCAAGGATGTTTCCAGCAGTAGTTGGATGGACTACTAAAACACTGCGAGAGAGATAGAATACAGAAGTTAAGGATGGAGGATTTGGGATTGGACATGACGATGGAAGATTGGGAGCAGAACAACTGATTGTGATGGTGAATACAATGGATGATGATGCACAGGAACATGAATCTAGTGCAAACGAAAGTGATGCTCCGGTGGACTTGGTGGTGGAGGATTCCGAGGAGGTAAAATGTGTACTTGTTTTTATTTATTTGATATACTTTTTTTTCAAGATGGGATGAAAATTACAAAGCTAAGAAATGTTAATCTTATAGGAATTTAATTTTTATAGGTGCTTGTAAGGAAATTTTCCGAAAAAGGCAACATCCTGGCAAACACGGTTATTGATCTAATAACAATGGTTCAGGACGCTCCAAAAACAGTGACTCGCAGTGCCAACTTTGTTAAAATGCAAAATGTGTGGGGTAAGTTAATTGGGATACATGTTGAGAAGGATGGTGCGATAAAACATGTAGTGTGGAACCTCAGAGCATGCTCTTGGATGACAATCCAATTTGGAGTAGTCCAGAGGTCATAGCTGCTGTTGATTTAGCTGAGAAGGCAACACAGGTGAGAGCCAAATATCATGAGGTGGTAAGTGATATGCCTTCTTTTAGCTTAGGAATGACACAGGAGTATAAAGGTGACGGATGTGGCATAACATCCATCGAACATGATGGGAAAAAGATAGATGTGGGGAGTCTGAATACTGAGGTGACTCCATTACGGGTTTGTGAAATGGCAGTTGTAGAGAGTGCTGAGGGAGGAAAATCAAATCCTTTTAATAATAGCAAAAAGGTATGTGTCATGTGGTTTGTATTTTTCTGAAAAATGCCACGCCTATGATTGAGTATTTTTACCAATTTGTATCGTATTCATATTATCATACACTTTAATAACAATGTTGGGAAACCTCTTACAGGATGAGAATGATCAGAATGAAGATGTGGGAGGCATGAAAAGGAAAAGCGAGGAGGTATGATACATTAGGCGTCACATTTAGTAGTACACAAATCTGCTTCAAGCCTTTACTTATACAGATTTGGTAATGAAGATTTTGCAGGCCCAAGAAGGAAAGAGGACTAGAAGAAACCAACGGGCAACACTAACGTTGAAGTCACCATATATGATGCGCATAATTGACCCGAAAGAGAATGCTAACACCAAAAAGAAAAACGTTTGGAAATGGGTTATGAGTAATCCAGGAGGTGATAGGTATAGCCTTTGTTTTTTTTGGATCAGTAAGATGGACTCAGATTGTGCTTTATCAGTTTGATTTTGATTGTGTGAGAAATTGATGTGCAGAGCTGAAATTGTCTTCAAGGGCTAGAATATATTTGTTGACCGTGGTCAGATGATGATGTTGGGAGTTGGTGAGCACATTTCTACAAATGTGTTGGATGCATGGTCGTGCATTTAAAATAAGAACGAACTATTTCGTAGCACTACATCACCTGCCCGCTTCTTTGCAAAGTCACTACGATGTGTATGTGTTTGTTTTCATTAGAAGTTGGTTTTAATTCATATCACTTGGTCTTAGTATGACATCTTCAGTGAACATGAATTCTCCTGCAGCGATATACACACGAGGGTAATGCGTATGAAGCAGATGTTGCATATAAATTGTTTTGTGATGCTATCAAATATGGATGGAGCTCAACTTCTCCCTGTAATGTGGACTTGGTGAGTCACGGTTAGCTATTGAAAATGCAAAGTATAAGTACTCATGTCTGGAATTTGAAAAAAGTAAATTTGTGTTTGAAATATGTTGGGCATGCAGATTTTCTTTCCAGTATTACAACAAAAGTGGTGTTATTGCTTATGCGTGAACCTAAAGAGTAACCGCTTTGAGATCTTGAACAGCTCCTCTGAGAATGTATCATTTGATGATAAGTATGATGGAATGCCCAAGGACATTGTAAGAGTGATTGGATTGGTTTTTTTGGATGTTTTGAAAATGGTATATGCGGGTTCTTTCTTGAATATAAGCATGTTGTTATATTTGTGTTGCAGGGAGACATGGTTATATGTTTCTTCAATGAGAAAGGGCTTGGTGCGAAGGTTTTGAAGCTTAAGGGCCAAGCTGCACACCGTTTGGAAATGCCGTGGAGAGAAGCAAAGACAATCCATGATTATGGGGTTACAACCATGAGGCATTTCGAGACCTACATGGGTCAATCTTTGAGGAAATGGGAATGTGGTTTGACAAGGGTGATCAGAAATCGATAAATGCACTGAGGAGCAAATATTGTGCTGCGATTGTGGAGTCAGATGTTAACGAGTTAAAAGACGTGATCTTGAAGAGTGTCAAGCAATGTAGCCGGGCATGAGAGTCTGTTATGGTGTGGAAACTATGCATTTTCTATTTATATGTACTCCTGACATTTTTATTATTTAGAGATGTTATTATTTTTGGGCTAAGAGGTGTTCGGGTGTTAGCCAATTCACTGGTTTTCTTTTTTGTTGTGGTTTTGGAAAGTTGGATTTCAATGTTGTTCATTGACTTGTTGGTTTGGACTTATGTTTAAATATTAATTTTATAATCATCCAACTATTTTCACTAGCATTGAAAAGCATTGAGTAGTAGGGTTGCTGGTTTTTAATTGCATACAAAAAAACTCAAATAGTTGCATTACTTAAGTTCCATAATGTGTTATGTTGCTTTTGTGCTGCATTAACAGTAAAACATACATCCACATGATTGGGAACAATACGTATAGAGGATCGTGGCAATGATATAATGATCATGTACCTATGATATTCTAAACGTGGTGAGTTTGGTACACTTAGTAATAGATGATAAGTTAGTTTATCCAAGCATGGTGAATCTGGTCCAAGTGCTTTTGATACACGAGCATATATGTAGTTGTATGTACAGTGTTACACGATGCACTGCCTAAAGGTGTGTAATGCATAATGCATGTCGTTTTGTGCATTACAGCGTATCAGCTCTTTTGCTTTTATTTAAATGGTTGAAAACAGTTTAGGTATTATTTAAACGGTAACATAAATTAAAGAAATGGACAATAATAAAAAGTGTATGCAAAGGAATTGTCTAGGATATTCACCTTGAAAATTAATTCAATGACACTAACAAAAAGCATAAGGAAATAAGGTGTGTAGAGGATAAAAAAAAGTATTTTATTGTAAGTATTCCATAATCATGATGTTAATTTATTAAGCGCGCAGTTTCGACTATCGTGGAAGCCTGTTTGATTGCAAGTTCGGCAAAGTCTCTTATGTTTCTTGGATTGTTCGATGGCTAATTCCTTTTCACTTTTGATTCGCTTACCACTTCCCTTGTTATGCACCTTTTTGGGGGGTAATACACGGACCTCAGAAGGGGCGGCTACGTAATTCATCAGAAACAGACAATCCTTGCAGCTTTATCTTTTGTGCTCTAATAACCTCAGAAAATGATCCCAGCAAGTTGGAGTCATGCTCAACGAGCGCCATGCATGCGTGGATGTCAGACCATAATTTATTGATACTCCATTTCGTGTTTTCTTGTATGTAATCCTTTTCATAATCACCTGTAGTTGTACCAACGGAACGATACACAATGTCATTCTTACACCATCTTTTGGCAACGTACAACTCTGGAATGTTATGGCAGCCCATAGCTTGAAGCACAACAAATATATGCCTACATAGGATCCCAATACGCTGGTAATGCTTGCAGGAACAAGATGCACAACCCGTGTCAAAAGAATACATGACAATGAACAACATACCTCTAATGTCCTTGATAGTATATTGAACTTTATCCTCAACGTCATCCACGTGTACGACAGAACAAGAAAAACATGCAGCACAAATCTCTTTCTAAACATTATAAAAGACAGTCAGCGTGTATATGGAAGAAGCATGCCTCTCAATAGCCAAAGGGGTTTTGAATACTGGTGTGCAAGACTCAGATTCAGCGTTCAGTAAGGCATTCCTGTGGCGTTGCGCATCCATAGCACTTTCAAATTGCATGAAAAACTCTACAAGACTAAACTTTTGGTTAGAGAACTCCCCGAAGAAGCTATTCTCACTCTCAAAATGTGAAGTCGTTCTCAATAAACCAGCCATAAATAAATCTCTAAAATATGCTGGGGTCCAAGAGTTTCGAATTTCAAATAACTTGATGAACCATTTATGGCTGACCAAATCATAATCATTCATGACCTCTTGCCACTGATTCTCAAACTCAATCAGATCGAGATAATGGCTCCAAAAAACTTCATTGAATCTAGTCAAGAAGTTGGTATCCTTATTTAGAGGTTCTCCAACTTTGTCTCCTAATTTTTTAGTGATATGCCACATACAATAGCGATGGGTAGTATGTTGGAATACCTCAATGACATTTGTATGCAAGGATGGGTCTTGATCTATTATGATGCATTTGGGGTCGTGATCCATTGCATCTTGAAATTGGCGGAACACCCAGGTGTAAGATTCTATGTCTTTGGTGCGAAGTAGACCAGCCCCAAATGTCATGCATTTCTGGTGATTATCCACCCCCGTGAAAGGTGTGAACATAATGTTGTACCTATGATTATAAAGGGAAAAACATCATAAATGAGAACCACTGTAGACATATATGAAAACGAGGAAAGGAATATAATGTATTGAAAATATGATTACTTGTTTGCCTCATACGTGGCATAAAAGGAGAGAACATCACCAAAAATAGCCTAGTTTCTCCTTGCAACTTGATCACACCAGAATAATCGTATTAGTTGGTCACTTTCCTCAACATCGTAGGCAAAACGGAAAGCAGGACATGTTTCTTGTCTTCGAAACAGTTTATCAATGATCATTTGGGCATCCCCACGGCAACATATGCCTTTAGGTCTCTTTTGAAGTTCTTGAAATCAATTGATGTTGCTCCTATATTGTTGTAACTTCCAACTAACTCTTTAAACAAACGGAATGATTTTATTGCCCCAATATTTGCTTTAGCGCAATTAAGCATAAATCTTTTATGACCAATATCACTATTCCGATTGATTTTCAAGAAAGGCCTGGACATTATGGATAGCATAGGATGATTGTGGCGTTCTTCAAATAGGGTTATGGTGTAACCAGAAGTGCCACAAAGCCTAAAGATTACACGCGCACGACAACATGTGCGGTTCGATATGCGTCGACGTTTTGTTTTGCTGCCATTCTAGGAGGCTTCAACCTGTTTATGCGCTAACTTCGCACCAGGCGCAAAATGTTTATGACCTTCACGACTACATAGAATATACTTCCATACCTTAACACCGTCTGAAGATGTTGTCGTGGTCCTCATACGGATATCAAACCCTGCAAGTGTTGCGTATTCCTTATAGAACAGAATCCCGTCTTCCAATTTCTGAAAAACCATTCCCACTCTTGGCTTACATTCTGATGGGCATGGCGGGATGAAGAAATTAGTATCCGGGTGAGGCATTTGGTCGGTATTGGTAGATGTAAAAGATGCATGATTTGAGGTTGTGTGGGCAATCGTGCTTGCATTTTCAGCTAAAAAAGGTGATAATGACACATCATCAGATGTGATGGAGGAACAAAGGATAAAGTATAAACACTTAAACAAGTATAGATATTACTAAATAAATCACTTTTTACAGCAAAAAATGGATGATTACAACCAAAAACATGTCAAATCTCATCCCCCGTTTCATCACAATATTGTTGTTGCACTCTAAATCCGTTAAAAAGGATAAAGACTATATTCTTGAAATGGAAATGACTAGAAACAGAAATTGTGAGGATTGTTGCAAATAAATGGAAATGGAACTCGAAATAAACAAAGTGATAATTAGATAGTACATGTGTCCATTTCAATGGCACTTCAATTTCCGTTGGACAATGGTTGATGGATTGTGTTCCTCCTTTCTTGCAATGAATAAATTTTTCCATGCGATGGTAGATTAAAGTGATCAGGTAACGTAAATTGGATGATCGAAAGAAATCAGGGAATGTGGGCGAAGTCTGTGGAACAGAGCGATAGATGTGAAGGAGAGGTTAACCGACAAAATTAGGAAAATACAATAGTGTCCGTGTATATTAATCGGCAAAACATATCCAAGATATAAAATGGGGGAATATATATATATATATATGGGATTGACTCCAGTCAGATGACACCTTACGGTGAGATGACATGCTTCGGTCAGATGGCACAAAGCTCACCACTGGCCACTGCAAAGCTCACCAAGGACAACTATAAAGCTCACCAAAGTGTAAGGCAAAGCTCACCATATTTTTTAACACTTTGAATTTTTTTTGAAAAAAAAAAGATCAAAGTGGTGTTGACTGGATTTTGACCATTGACCGGTGACCATCATCAAAGGAAAAGCTGACTTGACTTTGACCACCGCCAGCCGCCGATCTCTGCCGCCGGCCGCCACCGATCTCCGCCGCCGCCTTCCGCCGCGCTCGGTCACCGACCTTCTCCGCCGGTCGCTGGCGACCACCTCCGCCGCCGCCGGTCTCCACCGCCGCCACTGACCGGTGGTTGACCGGTGTTGCTATTTTATTTTTTATTAATTTTTTAATTTTCAAAATAAAAAAAGGTGAGTTTTGGTGTTCAAAGTGGTGAGCTTTGCCTTATTTCCAGGTGAGCTTTACATTGGCCATTGGTGAGCTTTGCAGTGTAATGTGGTGAGCTTTTTTATTTTTTGAAAAAAAATTCAAAGTGTTGAAAAAATATGGTGAGCTTTGCCTTACACTTTGGTGAGCTTTACATTGGCCATTTGTGAGCTTTGCAGTGACCAGTGGTGAGCTTTGTGTCATCTGACCGAAGCATGTCATCTCACCGTAAGGTGTCATCTCACTGGAGTCAATCCCTATATATATATATATATATATATATATATATATATATATATATATATATATATATATATATATATAGGTTCTCGTGAGAATGCGATCTTATGAAAGAAATAAAAATGAATCTGGTGCTTTAGATTGTGAGATCTAAGGGTCAGGATTGCATCAAAATTAGGTGCACCAAAATGGTTTGAAAATGTAGCACATCAAAATGCACCAAAAACCTTTGAAAATGCACCATCTCAAAATCTGAGCGCAGGATGTAATCTGAGCCGCACAATATATATTAAGAACGGATAGATTGATAAGACTTAAGGAAATTACATGTGAATATTTTTTATAACTTTGAATTAATAGTAATTGGAGAGATTTTCCTATTTTTGAAAAGAGAGAAATAAATATACAAAAGGAAAGGGGTTTTTATTCGCATGTTTATTTAATAGAGAATTAATT